ATATATATATATATATATATATATATATAATTAGCTTTCATGGGCCAACCCCATTTCCTCACTCATCTGAGGAGGTGGATTTTGCCCACAAAACTCATGATACAACATATATGTTTTTGTTAGTCTCTAAGGTGCTACAGGACTACTCATGGTTCCTAATATTGTTAGCTCTTTTTGACTGCCACTGCATATTGAGCAGATTTTTCAGAGAACTAGCCACAATGACTCCACGGTCTCTTTCCTGATTAGTTGTAGCTAAATTAGCCCCCACAATATTATATGTATAGTTGGGATTATTTTTTTTGAGCATTATTTGCGTTTATGAGCACTGAGTTTCATCTGCCATTTTGTTGCCCAGTCACCCAGTTTTGTGAAATCCCTTTGTAACTCTTTGCAGTCAGTTTTGATCTTAGCTATGTTTAGTAATTTTGTGTTATCTGCAATCTTTGCCACTTTACTGTTTACCTCCTTTTCCAAATAATGCATGAATATGTTGAATAGCAGTAGTCCTAATAGATAGCCTTGGGGGAGTTTACTATTTACCTGTCTACATTATGAAAAATTACCCATTTATTCCTATCCATTGTTTCCATTCTTTTACCAATTTCTTATCCATGAAAAAAACCTTCCCTCTTATCTCATGCCAGGGCCAGAGGGGTTAGCTCTCAACCAGGGGCAGACCTAGACCACTGCCCCTATTTTGATTCTGCACTAGGCACAGGAATGCGGCCGTCTAGGGCAGGATAGCTGCCAGCCTGGCCACCAAAGGCCACATGCGAACCCAGGAGCAGGTTTGCATGAAAATCAAGTTGGTCCAGTGAGACCCCCGACCCTGAGCCCTGAGCTTAGAACATAAGAACGGCCGTACTGGGTCACAGGAGCAGGTTTGCATGAAAATCAAGTTGTTCCAGTGAGACCCCCGACCCTGAGCCCTGCGCTTAGTACATAAGAACATAAGAATGGCCGTACGGGGTCAGACCAAAGGTCCATCTAGCCAAGTAGCCTGTCTGCCAACAGCGGCCAACACCAGGTACCCCGGAGGGGATGGACCGAAGACAATGACCAAGCGATTTGTCTCGTGCCATCCATCTCCAGCCTTCCACAAACAGAGGCCAGGGACACCGTTCCTACCCCCTGGCTAATACCACTCCATGAACCCAACCTCCATGAATTTATCTAACTTCTCTTTAAACTCTGTTATAGTTCTAGCCTTCACCGCCTCCTGTGGCAAGGAGTTCCACATGTTTCCTTTGCAAAGAAATAGAGCCCTGGCCATGAAGATGCCAGGATTTTCTCCTTTTCCTGCCATCACCATAGTATGGAAGCTCACCCCTGTCTGTTTCTAATGTACTCACAGTTCACAGTGACCCGGACTTGCTTGATGTCTGCCGAGGAAACCTCGTTGGCGGCTTTGCACTCGTACTTGCCCGATTGCTCTCGGGTGATCCCTAGGATTTCCAGGTACTCTTCCTCGCCTTCAAATTCTCTGCCTAGGAGGAGAAAAAGACACAGCAGGCTCTTGTTAGGTGGTGTGCATTGAATGGCCCTCTCTTTGGTTGTTACATGTGAATGATCATGGCACAAGTATTCATGACACCATGGCAGGTGGGAGCTACTTTGAGGCTATGCCAGCAAGAACAGCAGCATAGATTCTGGAGAACCAAAAGGAGGTTCTGGCCCAAACTGAGTCTTGTGGCCAGAATCCATTACATTCATGGAAGCAAAATCACCAACTTGCAGAGACAGAATTGGGTTAACAATTTATTTCACTACCAGGACTGGTCAGATTGATTATAATTGGCTTTGTGGTAGTTATGACCACCATACACTGGGACATATTTTACCTGAGGTGGTGGTGTTTTCGGTCTCTGAAAATGCAAACTTCCAACCCAAACTGACATTGACAAGACAAAGTGTCCTGGAAACACCTCCACATTGAGAAGTATGGACTGTTGGAAAGTAAAATTGATCCCCAGGGACCAATACTCACTGCAAACCCTAGCACTCCTGTGTATATATTATCTGACTTCTTTTTGACTATGTTCAAAAAACTGCTTTCAAACCTGAGTTAGAGAGGGAGCATGGAGTTAGAACTGGGGACTGGGAGTCAGGATATCTGAGCTCTGTCTGTGGCCCTGCCATTGTGGTCACTGTGTGACCTTGAGTGAGTCAGTTCACTACTCCATTCCTCAGTTTCTCCAGTTGTAAACTGTGGCTAATACCTCCTCCTCCAAAAAAGGGTTGTGAGGTGAACTCCTAGAAAGAACATTGAGAGCCTTGCCTGAAAGGTGCAATAGAAGTGTTAGGTATTAGGATTGGCATAGTTACACCATCTCTCTGTAAATCAATCCGGGCCTCTCCCTAGAAGGATTATTCACACTGTTGGGTAGAACCATGGTGGGAGCATGTTTTCTATCTTAACAGGGTGCTAACCCTGCTTTGGAGCATGGCTGTAGCAGTCTTTGCAAAGTGGGTAGCACAGGCAAACTAACCCAAGGCAACCTCCCCATATCTAATCTCGCTTCTAAATCTTATGGGTGAGATTTTCAGACGAGCTCAGTGCCCAGAAGACGTTGTTATCAACGAGGGATGCGACCTTTTGAATATCTGGCCTTTTCATTGAAGTGTCTGAAATGGATGTGAGGTCTTTTCAGAGCCTGACACCATCTGTCAGCGGGCAGCTCTTTTAAACATCCGTGCCTGACTTCCTAGGTGTGTTTCAAATACGGTCTGTGTGGACTGGTCATTAGTCCCTGGCTCACAAAGTCTTGCATGGCAGGAGTAGCCTCATGCTCAGGGGCTCTAGTTCCAGTGATATTCCCTAGAGTGGCAGAACCATCCCAATGGACAGGCATATGTTTCCCATGACACATTAGCCAAAGTGACGTAGCCTGATCAGATTAGCCATGCATGTTGGAGGGTGAGTACAGGGCACCAGCCAGATTGTTTGTTTTATATCAAGGATACAGCTTTGGGGACCCATACATCTCTGCTCAGGCCTCTGTCCCTTGCACTACCACTCTTATTACTTGGTTTTCCTGCAGCCATCAGAATCCCCCAATGGGTAAAATAGTCCCCAGACATGGCAACTCAGTATTAAAAGAGGCACTGCCACTCCACATATGATGAAGGGACTCTTTGAAAGCAGGTAAGTTTTCTTCTTTTATTGAGAGACAGAAGACCCAAAACCTAGATCCAAATGCTTCCAGGTTTCTGATAAATTCGAACTTAACCACTGTGTCCTAAACCATTATCTGCTCTGGTGTAGGTCTGCATTTCATTTTCAGGACTTACTAGCATGGATGCAGAAAGGGCTAGCGCTTGCAAGATGCCCTGCTTTTTTGCAGGGCAGTGTACACCATTAGGTAAAGAGGGAATGCAATCCACCCTACCGCACTGCAGGAGTCATTGGGACTCTGCTCATCATCAGGCCCACTGATGGCAGGGTGGGGAAGAGGCAGTTGTCCAAGCCTCAGGGCTGCTGCTGTGGCTTCTGAGGACTTGCAGAGGGGCACCGAATGCTGGCTGTTGCAACCCTGCTCCCTCTACCTGAGGCCCCACCCCTTCCAACACCCAGCACCACCGCCCCCATCTTACCTCAGGGCCCAGCAAGTCTGTCAGCCCCCCTGCTCACCATTCCCAACAGTGCACAGGTGAAGAAGTTAGGAATAGCATTCCAGTGGCAAGGCCCTGCGGGTGGAATTTTCACAAGTGGTCGCCATTGACCTAAGTCTGCTCTCATTGACCTGAATGGGAACTTTACCTCTGCCTTCAATCGCAGCAGTGTTAGGCCAATGCTAAAGGGTGTCTGAAAATCCCATCTAGAATCAAAATGCACTTCATTTATCACAGTGCTGGCAGGTCCCGACTATTAGGTGCTGAGCAGGAACATTAATCTGCTACCCCAGCAAATCTTAATAAACCAATAATTAAAAAATAATTTGCCAGGGCACAGTTGCTTTGCTGTCATCTTGTTGGCTTAATGGGCTGGGCCCATTTTTTATCCAAGGTGCTGGAGGGGATGCTGAGGAGGTGCTTATCAAAGGCTGCCACCAAACCAAAGGGATGGTTGTGGGGAAGTTTTCCTAGCCTCTGAAAGATGCTGCCTTTTTGGGTGCTGCTAAACCTACCTGCTGGTCACCACATAGATGTGGGGCTCTGAAAAATATTCTGAAAGAAAATATTTTGCTAGGTTTCCCAAAGAATGAAACGGTTCCTCACAATTTTTCTCTCTGTAACACACACACACACACATCCAGAAGGAACAATGAGCCATCACACACACGCACACACACACACACACACCCAGAAGGAACAAAGAGCCATCACACACACACACACACACACACACACACACCCACCCACCCCAGAAGGAACAAAGAGCTATCACACACACAAACACACACACACACACACACACACCCAGAAGGAACAAAGAGCCATCAACAAGCTCAGGAGAGCTTTCAGGAACAACACATAATCCTTTCCAGCAAAGTGGAGATGAAAATCTACCTGGCCCTTCATTCTGTCTTCCTATAGCACACACATGTCTGGGGGATGGGTTTCACACACTCCTTGGGGGGAATATTTTATGGGCACTCCTTGCTAAGTTTTGCCAGTTCTATCAGTGCCTTCTCCCTCTCTGTCAGTTTCATCTATGAGTGGCCATGTTTTCTTCCTTAAACTTAATTACTCTGAACGGCGTAAACTGAAATGCCTACCAGGGCAGAACCTTTTTAAAAAGAGCATTTCCGTAAAGTGCCATGTCATATCACTGGAATGAGAGATAGCAAGACACAGCCCAGCACCATAAGAGGATGTCAGGTTCTGGTCTCTTGCACACAGCGACCTTGGCTGCCTGACAGGGAGAAGCCATCCTCTTAATTCCAACCTATCAAAGTTGTTGGAGAGTCTCTCTCCGAGGCAGAAGCAACTGATGTCAGTGAAAGGGAGAAAATCTAGAAAGAGTCACGCTGAGGAGAAAGCACTGGCAGGAAGTTTAGGATTGTTACAATTGATGTTAAAAGTAGCGGAAGGGGGTAAGTGCGGATGCTATCCAGAGGCGTGGGTTGGCAACATGCATGCTGTGTTAAGAGAACGGTGGAAATGCCAGCATCTGACAGGCAGCATAGTGTATTCTCCCAGGGGTGAAATCTTGACCTTGTTAAAGTTAATGGTACAACTCACCCGTCTCACACCGGTTCAGGATTAAATGTGCCCAGTGATGGGATTGCCACCACTTCCCTCGGCGAGGCTATTCCAAAGACAAACAACGTTCAGTCCTTTCATCCCAGGAGCCCTAGTTCTATCCCTTTGTCTGATCCTAAGCAACTCTTCTCCCCTTGGGGATTATTAGCCACGTCAGAAATTGAGAGGTAACTGGTAGGTTCCCACAGCCTCCATAGGCTAAGCCAAGCTGTGCCTATGTTGTTGCACTTATAATCTGTCCTCATAAACATGGAACAGCAGCCACTTCTGCTGGCCAGCTTCAGGCAACGCTTCCTATCATGCAGACTGGTGTGAGAGAGAGGCGGGGGTAGGGGTGAGCTGGCAGGCATAACAATCAAACCAAGGTGGAAAGAATTGGAGAGTGCCAGGTGCCTGGAGTAGCTGGGAGCTGGTGGAGGCCCTTCTCTGTGGGTAGATTCTGCTTTGATGTGTGAACATGGAAGTCTTTGAAAGTGCCCTCGCCTTAGCCATGTGTGCTCCCTTCTGGCTTCCAAGTTGCACCTGCTTCAGCACCCCAGCTACACAACAACAGTCTGCTTACAGACCACATCACCACACTTGTGAGAGTACACAAATCGAATAGGGATGTGAAGGTTTAACCAGTGTAGTCATGCACATATCTTACTTACGCATACTAAAAGCTTCTCATTTCCACACACTTTACCAGTTGTTTCACAGACTCACTCTCTCTCTCTCAAACACACACACACACACGCACAAAATCTAGGTATACACAGAGTATTCACACAACATCCATATCTGACTGAACTCAGCGTGCTTGCTAATCTAACAATATTCTGTGAAGCTGTGTCTACACTATCTGGTTATTTCAAAATAAGTTATTTTGAAATAAAAACTCCCAAAATATTATTTCGAAATAGCATGTCCACACTACAGCGAAGCCTCAAAATTAGTCCAAGACAGCCTCCCTGAATGTGGATGCGCTACCTTGACTTCAGCCCCAGAAAGCACCTGGGAGTAATTATTTTGAATGACTCTGGGGAGTAGTTATTTTAAAATAACAGCATCCACACTAACCGTATTTTGACACAGGCATACTCATAGAATGGGGGGTTATTATTTCAAAATAACAAGCCCATTATTTCAAAATAATTTTGAAATGATGGGTTTGCTGTGTGGGTGCTCACATTATTTCAAACTCTGCCCTGAGGTAGATCCATGATGTTGTAAGCCAGGCAACAAACTCACCAAACTGTGCTCCAAATGTCTTTGGAGGGTGGACAACAGACTTCCCCCCCTC